AATTAAACATAACAAATAAAACTAATAATAGATTTAGCTGTGTATTTTTTTTTTTTTTTTTATTATTAAAAAAAGAATGAAGTATCCAATCACATTGTTTTCTAATCAAAGTGAAAAGACTTAGATATCATCATTTAATAGTAATCCAACCGAACAATACCTAAACGATTCTAATCCACGCGATATCAAACTAACTAAATAAGCTTACTTCGTTTAAATCGATTCTTAAATGAAAAAGGTTCGAAAATTTTCCCTATTTTTATCGAGGATATAAATCTTCGAATAATTTTTCTAAATAAAATTCGTAAATTATTTTATTAAAAAAAAAAAAAAAAAGAAAAAAGAATGAAATAAATGATTGAATGCAATTGAAAAAGAAAATTACGTGGAATTTCGTTAATAAATTTTCGAATAATTTTTCAAAATAAAATTCGTAAATTCTTTTACTAAAAAAAAAAAAAAAAAATGAAATAAATGATCGAATGCAATCAAATAGGAAAATTACGTGGACTCTCGTTGATAAAGAAAAAATTTGCCAAAAATGTGTGAAAAATAAAGAAAACATGTTGGTGAGAAATGTGAATATTTGAAATGAAATTAAACAAGAAAAAAAAAAAAAAAAACAAATAAACGAAAGAAGAAGAAGAGAACGAAGTACGAGTTTTTGATTATGACAATAATCTGTCGTATTGTAAGAGTCATGGGTGGTATTTTCCATAATTACCGATTATCATCATCATGCACGCATTAAATGACCAACATCATAACGAAAACTATTTTTAATTCTTTGATAAAATCATTTTGTGTGTGTGATGAAACCTATGCCTCTGTATTATTTGTGCTCAAAATAGTATTATATTATATTTATCAAACAAATATAAAAACAAAAAAAAATATATACAAAACTCGAATTCCATTGATAAAAACAGAAAAAGGGGGAAGTTTTGGTGGTGGTGATGGTGGAAGATTTGATGGAATTCAAACGGGAAATACAATTTTTTTTTTTTATATTTTTTTTTTTTTTATAATTATGTCTGACTCAAAGTTTATAATTGAAGATGACGATGTATCAAGAATGTCATTAAAATATGAAAAAGAAACAAAGGTCATATTTGTTATCAAAGACTAATATATACGTATCTATAAAAACGAAAGAGTTTATCGAATCCGACGACATTTTGTGGCATTCGTCGTATCACAAAACGGATGAACATCGACGCAAAAAGAAAAAGAAGAGAAAAAAAAAACTTACGAGATAAATTGTCTCTATCTCTCTCTCTCTCCTTCTCGT